CTAAGAATAGAATCACTTGTTCCTTAAAAGGGAGTTACACCAGGAAAAACCATTGGGATCTGGAGTTTTCTTTGTGGAAAGTTTTAAAGCTGTTGTTTCAGTTCCCCTAAGGGTCATAGGGCATCCAAGTTCTCTATTTCATATGGTAAGTAAAATTTCTTTAGGAATTTATTCATTTCATCTAAGGTTTAAATTGTGTGGTCAAAGTTGTTAATCATATGCTGTTATTGTATTGTTAATACTTACTACATCTGCAACCTTATCTAGTTTTTCATTCTTTTATTTATTTAGTTATTTATTTATTTTTGCAAGGAAGATCAGCCCTGAGCTAACATCCGTGCCAATCCTTCTCTTTTTGCTGAGGAATACTGGCCCTGGGCTAACATCCAAGCCCATCTTCCTCCACTTTATATGAGACGCTGCCACAGCATGGCTTGACAAGCGGTGCGTCAGTGCGCGCCCGGGATCCGAACTCGGGCCGCCAGCAGCGGAGCTCGAGCACTTAACCACTACGCCATGGGGCCGGGCCCCTAGTTTTTCATTCTTATGTGTTTTTTTTTTTTTTTTTAAATCTTGCCAGGATTTTGTTTTTTTCAAAGTACTTTTGGCTTGATTGAACCACTTTATGATAGGTGATGTTTTCTATTTCAGACTTTCTGTTCCTTATAATTTTCTTCCTTTTACTTTTTGGGGACTTTTCTTTTCAATTTCTTACATTGGATACCTGTCACATCCCAAAGAATTGCAGGGATAGTATATTATGTTTCAGTTCTGAATATTATTGAATATTATGACTTCTTTGGCATGAGAATTATTTAGGACTTTTAATTTCCATTCCTGTGACATTTTTCTGCTTATTGTTTGCTGACTTCATTGCTCTGTGGTCAGAGATTGATGCCATTTTCTGAGATAAGCATTGTGCCCCATGTGGTTGGATTTTATAGTTAGGAAATATTGTTTCATCTTGTTCAGTCTTTGTATAGTTACATCCCTGTGACTTATTCATTTTTTTCTTTGCTTTTCTTTCTTTTTTTGTTTTTGGTGAGGAAGATTAGCTCTGAGCTAACATCCGTTGCCGATCCTCCTCTTTTTGCTGAGGAAGATTGGCCCTGGGCTAACATCCGTGCCCATCTTCCTCTAGTTGATATGTGGGACACTGCCACAGTGTGGCTTGATAACTGGTGCATTGGTGCATGCCTGGGATCCAAACCTGTGACCCCCTGGCCGCCAAAGCATAGTGCGTGAACTTTACCACTACGCCATGGGCCTGGGCCCCCCATTTTTTTTTTTTTTGGTGAAAAGATCGGCCCTGAGCTAACATCCCTGCCCATCTTCCTCCATTTTGTATATGGGATGCCGCCACAACATGGCTTGATGAGCGGTGTGCCAGTCACTGGGGATCTGAACCTGCGAACCCTGGGCTGCCGAAGCAGAGCAAGCGAACCCAACCACTATGCCACCAGGCCGACCCCTGACTTACTCATTTTATAACTGGAAATTTGTACCTTTTGACCATCTTCACCAATTTGACTCCCCCCAGGCAGCCCCAGTGTGTTCTTTGTGTCTATGAGCTTGGTTTTTTTGTTTTTCTTGGCAGATTCCACATATAAGTGAGAACATATGGTATTTATCTTTTCCTGTCTAACTTATTTCACTAAGCATAGTGCCCTCAAGGTCCATCCATGTTGTCGCAAATGGCATGATTTCATTCTTTTTTGTGGCTGAATAATATTCCATTGTGTGAGTGTGTGTGTGTGTGTGTGTATACACACCGCATTCTTTATCCATTCATCAGTTGATGGCCACTTTGGTTGTTTCTGTGTCTTGGCTGTTGTAAATAATACCACAGTGAACTTGAGGTGCATGTATCTTTTTGAATTAATGTTTTCATTTTCTTCAGATAAATACCCAGAAGTGGATTTGTTGGATCATATGGTAGTTCTGTTTTTAATTTTTTGAGGAGCTTCCATGTTGTTTTCTATAGTGGCTGCACCAATGTACATTCCTACCAACAATACACAAGGGCACCATTTTCTCCACAGCCTGCCAACACTTGTTATGACTTGTCTTTTTGATAGTTTCTAACAGGTGTGAGGGAATATCTCATTGTGGTTTTGATTTGCATTTCCCTGATGATTAGTAGTGTTGAGCATCTCTTTATGTACCTGTTGGTCATCTGTATGTCTTCTTTGAAAAAATATCTATTAATGGGGCTGGCCCATTGGCGCAGCAGTTAAATGTACGCGCTCCGCTTCGGTGGCTCAGGGTTCGCAGGTTCGGATCCCAGGCGCGCACTGACGCACCGCTTGTCAAGCCATGCTGTGGCGGCATCCCATATAAAGTAGAGGAAGATGGGCACAGATGTTAGCTCAGGGCCGGTCTTCCTCAGCAAAAAGAGGAGGATTGGCGTCAGATGTTAGCTCAGGGCTGATCTTCCTCACAAAAAAAAAGAAAAGGAAAAAGAAAAAATATCTATTTGGATCCTCTGCCAGTTTTTAAATTAGATCGTTTTTTTGCTATTGAGCTGTATGAGTTTTTTATATTGGATATTACCTCTTATAAGATACATGATTTGCAGATATTTTCTTCCGTTCAATAGGTTGCCTTTCCATTTTGTTAATGGTTTCCTTTGCTGTGCAGAAGCTTTTTAGTTCAGTGTAGTCCCACTTGTTTATTTTTGCTTTCGTTGCCTTTGCGTTTAGTGTCAAATCCAAAAACTCATTGCCAAGACTGATGTCAGGGAGGTAACCTGCCATGTTTTCTTCTGGGAATTTTATGATATCCAGTCTTATATTCAAGTCTTTAATCCATTTTGAGTTAATTTTTATGTACAGTGTAGGAGAGTGGTTCAGTTTCGTTCTTTTGCATGTGGCTGTCCAGTTTTCTCTTGAAGAGACTGTTTCCCCATTGTATATTCTTGGCTCCTTTGTTGTGAATTAATTGACTGTATATGCATAGGTTTATTGCTGCGCTCTCAATTCTGTTCCATTGATCTATGTGTCTGTTTTTATGCCAGCCTGTTTATTTTTTTAGTGCTGTTATTTGATGACTAGAAATTTTTAATTTCGGTGAAGTCTGATTTATTTTTTTTTGTTTAATTCTATTTGTGTTTAGTCTTTTTTTGTGTGTGTGAGGAAGATAAGCCCTGAGCTAACATCTGCCAATCCTCCTCTTTTTTTTTGCTGAGGAAGACTGGCCCTGGGCTAACATCCGTGCCCATGTTCCTCCACTTTATATGGGACACCGCCACAGCATGGCTTGACAGGCGGTGCATCGGTGTGCGCTAGGGATCCGAACCCTGGGCCGCCGCAGTGGAGTGTGTGCACTTAACCGCCACACCACCAAGCTGGCCCCCTATTTGTGTTTAGTCTTAAAATACGGTTGTGTTCTCTGGGTTGTGAAAACAATCTCTTTGTATTTTATTTTTTGGTGTCTGATTCATCTCAAACAGGTTTTTAAAATTTCAAATTAGTTTTTGTTTATGCAGTGATAATAGAGGTCATAGTTCCTTTTTTTCCATTGAGTTCTTTCAGCACCATTTATTAAAAAGACTGCTTTCCCTATTGAATTGCTTTGATCCCTTATTGAAAATCATTTGACCATGCACCTCTAGGTCTATTTCTAATTCTCTTCTGTTCCATTGACCTATTTGTCTATACTTTTTCCAATACTTGTTCATTACTATGGTAAGGTTAGTAGGTATGAATCCGCCAAGTTTATTTTTCTTTCTTAACATTGTTCTGGCTCTTGTAGATCTTTTGCATTTTGATACACATTTTAGATTTGGCTTTCAATTTCTAGAAAGCAGCCTGCTGGGATTTTGATAGTGACTGCATTGTATCTGCAAATGAGTTTGGAGAGTGAATAGCTTAATAATATTGACTCTTGCAGTCTGTGAAAATAATATTCCCTCCCATTTATTTAGGTCTTTAATTTCTTTCAGCAGTGTTTTATAGTTTTTATTGTCAAGGTCTTATAGTACAGCTTTTGATTTATTTCAATGTAGTTTATATATTTTCTTTTTTTTTTTTTTTTTTTTTAAAAATTTTTTTTTTTTTTTTTTTTCCCCCCAAAGCCCCAGTAGATAGTTGTATGTCATAGCTGCACATCCTTCTAGTTGCTGTATGTGGGACTCGGCCTCAGGATGGAGGGAGAAGTGGTGCCTCGATGCGCACCCGGGATCCGAACCCGGGCCACCAGCATTGCAGCGCGCGCACTTAACCACCAAGCCACAGGGCCGGCCCATAGTTTATATATTTTCTGTTATCATATATGGAATTATTTTTTTTGTCTCATTTTGCAGTTCTTTGCTAAGGAACGTTATTTTAGTTGTGATTACTATGAAGTGAAAATAAGAGTATTTGCTGAAAGTAAGAGTAATGGTAACACAGTTGTTGGTTCAGAAAAACTTTACATGGTTTTGGGAGATGGGAAGATTGGATTGCCTAGGATGCTTTTATTTAGTGTAGGTGCTCTTTTAGGGTTAGTGACTTTGTTTCAGAAGCTACCAGTGTGACTGACTTGTGTGCCGAAGGTATTCCCAAGTACCTTCATAGAGAAGGCAGATGGTTGGAATCATCCAGGGCTGGTCTTTTGCTTGTTAGGGGTTGTAATAGGCAGGAGGTAAAGGAATTTGGGCAAATAAATTGTAGAAGTGATGAATCTCAGTTGGATAAGTGTTATAGTGAGAAGAGGTACAAGACGGTAGAAAAACAGGTGGCCTGGAACTCTCTAAATTGGGAGAGTTAATGTGCAAAGAATGTTGTGTAGGTTTCGTCCCCAGAACAGATTTCTGAATCATTGTCTGTGAGGTGAAGCTGATTCTAATAATGACAAGGCCTAGGCTGCTGGCCCCTGCATGTGTGTGTTGGTGTAGAGTGTGGGGTCAAAGAGCATTGGAGATTGGAATATGTGGTCCTAGGTGGACCATCCTCGTGGATACTAGAATCATCCTAAACCATGGCCAGCCTTGAAGTTGAAAGGAAGAACAGAAGTCTGGGACCGGAATGTTTAATGAGTGGGGGAGTTTAACAGAGTTGTGCTCCGTGACAAATTACTTGGGAGAGTGAATCTGAATCTTACTTGAGGCAGGTCAGGGCCCTCCACCACATTTCCTGGAGGTTTTGCCTAAGTAAGATAAAGGCCTACGATCATACAGAACTTGCTGCTCAAAAGAAGAAATGCTTGAAAACAAAAGTCAGAATTGTCCTGTGAGTGGGAGAGACGGAAAGCCTTTGACTATACCTAGTAGTCTCTTGTCTTCTCATTTACTACAGATGCCAGCTGGAAGAATCCCATGACAGCAAGAGAGTAGCTTCCTGGTGCCAGTGCCCTGTTGTTCAGGCAAATTTGCTATCATTCTCACAGAATGGCAGCTCTTGATCTGTCTCCCACATGTGGTAAGTTCTTGGGTTGATGAATGCCCTCAGAAATCAAGCTTAAGTGGCCCCTGACACTTCACTGAGGTGTCAGGGGTGTGCATAGCCACGGGAGGGCTGCCAGTGGGGGATGGATGAAATGAGGTGGGAGCAAAGCCCTGGGAGCTCCTCAGGTGACTGTGTCTGAGGTTTTTGTGAGTTTCGGTAAGGGAGGGAGGGTGTGTAGTTGGTGTGTAAAGAACACAGGTAATGTATAACCCTGCACTATCCTATTTATTACTTTGATAAATCTGAGCAAAGTAACAGCTTGACCTCTTAGAGCTTTAATTACTTAAATCATGAATTGAGAATATGTATCACTTTGTTGATGGATATGTAAGCCCACCTATGCTTGAGTGGAACAGGACCGTACTGGCTTGTTACAAAACATTGTGTGTATTGATTGAGGGATGTGTACTGTACACTGATAGTGTGGGCAATTTCCTGATTTGTGAGTATCCGGCAGGCTTTAATCCTCATGGATCCTCTCTTCTCCAGCTATGTCCACCCAGGACCCTGCCTATCTCCAGGAGTCAGAAATTCCTTTTTCTTCAAAAGATCATTCCTGTCCCCAAGATGTGGACCTGTTTGCTTGCAATGGCTTGGAGCTTCATATGCAAACCATTGGTGGTTCCCAGGTACACCAAGATCTCAGGGCCTCTGAGGGTGGGAGAGGCCATTCCCAAGAACACGCCCAATATCACGTGTTAGAATACTTTTAGATCTTCCTTCAGGCTGATTGATGCCTGATCAGGGCACAAGAGAAAGAGCCAAAGAATGTTGCAAGGCTGTCCTGGTATCAGGGGTGTTAGGGGAAATGACTTATGTACCAGTTGTTTCTCTCATAATATAGCTTAGAGTGCTTAGGCCAGGCTAGAAATGGAGAGAGATTTGGTCCTGTGTCAGAGTTGCATTTGACAGTGAGTTGGGATGAGATCACCTCATGGGAAAGAGTTTGCAGACTTCTAGAGTAAATGTTGAGACCCCCCAGACGGCATCTGAAAACGCTGTGTTTCAAGTCTCTCGTGCCCAGTCTTGAGCCTCAGCCATATGTGAACACATAGGCTGGTTTCTCACTGACCTCAAATGTGTGTGGCATTTTAGGAATCAGTGACTTTCCAGGATGTTGCTGTGGACTTCACTGAGAAGGAGTGGCCCTTGCTGGATTCTTCTCAGAGAAAACTGTACAAGGATGTGATGTTGGAGAACTATAGCAACCTCGCCTCAGTGGGTAAGGCTGGCATCATTTATTCATTCATGAATCAGATGTTTTTGTTTTAGGTACTTACCATGACCCAGGAACTATGTGGGGATTTGGAACACAGTTGTGAACAAGCCGACCTGGTGCCCACCCTCGTGGTATCTCCCCATGAATATTGAGACCTATCCATTGCATTGACAATGGTGGTTGTCAAGTGTGTCTGAGATTGAGCATAGGTTTCTGAGTTAAGTCCTCATTCCTCTGAAGGGCAAAACGTGTGGGTGTTTGTGGTTTTGTGTTTTATGAAAGCCTTTCACTGTGTTCCTTAGAAATTTGGCGCCATCATTTGGCTGCTCCTAAGTCAGACTTGTCCATCTTCAGAACACTGAAGACTGAAACACTAACACCAGTCTAATGGAAGAGGTTCTCTTGCATGATCCTCTCTCAACATGTGTCTTTCCCCGTGAGTAGGGTGTCAGGTGGATAAACCCAGCCTCATCTCCCACTTGGAGCAAGAAGAGGAGCTGAGGACAGAGGAGAGGGGACTTCACGGAGGCTCTTGCCCTGGTAAGCACCAGGCAGACACAAATGCTTTTGAGTATTGTCTCTGTCCAGTGATTGGGGTGGAGGGAGATCCGTGAGGAAATGTCACCAGGGAAATTTGGAATTTCCTTCTATTTCACTGCCCGTCCATTCTCTCACAAGTCCTTTGGTCTCTATGTCCCTTCATCTTTATTTATCTGTCTATTTAATTATTTTTATTGAGGTATAATTGACAGATAACATTATATTAGTTTCAGGTGTACAGCATAATGATTTGGTATTTGTATATATTGTGAAACCATCACCACAGTAAGTCTACTTCATAGTTAACATCAATCACCTCACGTAGTTACAAAAATTTTTTTTATTATGATGAGAAATTTTAAGATTTGCTCTCATAGCAGCTTTCATGTATGCAATAGAGTATTATTAACTAGAGTCACCATGCTGTGTATCACATCCCCAGGACTTATTTATTTTATAACTGGAAGTTTGTATCTTTTGACCTCCTTTGCCAATTTCACCTACCCTCCACTTTCCCTGCCTCTGACAACCACCTATCTGTTCTCTGTATCAATGAGTTGGTTTTGTTTTTTTTTGAGGTTCCACATATAAATGAGATCATACAGTACTTGTCTTTCTCCTTCTGACTTATTTCACTTAGCATAATATGCCCTCAAGCTCCAACTGTGTTTTTAGAAATGGCAGGATGTCCTTTTTTATGGCTGAATAATGGTCCAATGATATATGTATACTGCATTTTCTTTATCTGTTTAGCTGTTGATGGACACAGGTTGTTTCCATATCTTGACTATTGTAAATAATGCTGCAAGGAATATGGGGGTGCGGATATCTTTTTGAGTTAGTGTTTTTTTTTTCTTTGGAAATACCCAGAAGTGGAATTGCTGGGTTTCATCTTTAACTGTGACATGTCCACATGGTGTCTTTCTCCCATCCTTCCAAACTTAACATTTCTGATCGTACTCTTCCTGTCATTATCAATATCAATCTTTGAAAAATTACTTCTTAGTGAATTCACTTAAATGTCTACCCCTATCATTGCTGTGTATCTCACGCAGCCAAATTTTTCACAGTTGTTTATACTCATGTGTACATTCTTCTCTTTCACATTGCCTTTCCTTCTTTAGGGTTAATATTTGCAGAGAAATCCACTTATTTTTGTGACCATCATTCCACCATTTTCTTTTTCCAACAAATTAATAGTTTCCCAATTTGTTTCAGATTGGGAGACTCCATCTAAAACCAAATGGTCCATTCTCATGGAAGATATTTTTGGGAAGGAAATTCCCAGTGGTGTGACAGTGGTAAGATTTCCTTGGGATAATTCTGGATCTTCCATATTGGGAGAAGACTGAGGCAGACTAAGTTAGAAAAGCAGCTCAAGAACCAGGCGAGTGACATCCTCAAGAGGAAGTATGCGTGTCAGAGACTCTGAGTATTACTAATTTGGGAGAAAGCCCTAAATCCAGCTGCAAACGGCTCCACTTAGAATTCTGATGAGTAAACATTTCATTAACTATGTCTCAGGTATTGAGTGTTGGGGCTCAGTTCAGATGTAAACAGTTAACAAAGGATAGTCATACCTCGTTTTATTGTGCTTTGCAGATACTGTGTGAAGGGCAGGTCCCTTCACCAGCAAAAAGATTACAACTTGCTGGAGGCTTAGGTGATGGTTAGCATTTTTGAGCAATATGGTATTTTTAAATTAAGGTATATACATTGGTTTATTTAGACATAATGCTATTGCACACTTAATAGACTGCAGTAGAGTGTAAACATAACTTTTATATGTACTGGGAAACCAAAAAGTTCATGAGACTTGTTTTATTGCAGTATTTGCTTCATTATGGTTGTCTGAAACTGAACCCACAATACCTGTGAGATATACCTGTACGTGTAAAAAGCTTTGTAAAAGTTATAAACATGGAGCCTTAGGGCGTAGCATCCACCTGTTCTATTTGATAGAGCCCAAATGGGGCAGAAACTGTACTTTTGCACTGCAAATTATGACATCATAATTTGTGCTTCAATTTTTGCCAATTTATATGGGGATAACTTAGGAATGTAATGAATATGGGAAATGCCTTAGCACTCATCTCTTAATCAACAGGAGAGAACTCCTCTTGGAGAGAAATCCACTGAATATGCTCACCTGTTTGAAGTCTTCAGTATGGGCACTCATCTTACTCAGCAAATGGGAAGACACACTGGCAAGAGGCCATATCACCGCCGGGACTGTGGGATAGCTCTCAAGAACAGGTCACATCTAACCCAACATGTGAGCATTTACAATGGGCGAAAAATGCATGAATGTCATCAGTGCCAAAAAGCCTTCACCACAAGCGCTTCCCTTACCCGGCACAGGAGAATACACACTGGAGAGAAACCCTACGAATGCAGTGCCTGTGGGAAGGCTTTCAATGATCCCTCAGCCCTTAGGAGTCATGCGAGAACTCACCTCACAGAGAAGCCCTTTGACTGCAGTCAGTGTGGAAACGCATTCCGAACGCTCTCTTCCCTGAAGATACACATGAGAGTTCACACTGGGGAGAGACCTTACAAGTGCGATGAGTGTGGGAAGGCGTACGGCAGGAGCTGCCACCTCATTGCACACAAACGAACACACACTGGAGAGAGACCTTATGAATGCGTCGACTGTGGGAAAGCTTTTCAGCATCCCTCACATCTCAAAGAGCATGTCAGGAATCACACTGGAGAGAAACCCTATGAATGCACGCAATGTGGAAAAGCCTTCCGATGGAAGTCTAACTTTAATTTGCACAAGAAGAACCACATGGTAGAGAAAACATACGAATGTAAAGAATGTGGGAAATCCTTTGGTGATGTCTTATCACGGAGAAAACACATGAGAATTCATATCGTAAAGAAACCCGTTGAATGTAGACAGTGTGGGAAAGCGTTCAGAAACCAGTCCATCCTTAAGACACACATGAATTCTCACACTGGAGAGAAACCGTACGGGTGTGATCTATGTGGAAAAGCCTTCAGCGCGAGCTCAAACCTAACTGCACACAGGAAAATACACACTCAAGAGAGACGCTATGAATGTGCTGCCTGTGGGAAAGTCTTTGGTGATTATTTATCCCGGAGAAGGCATATGAGCATTCATCTTGTAAAGAAGCGTGTTGAATGTAGACAGTGTGGGAAAGCGTTCAGAAATCAGTCGACCCTTAAGACACACATGAGAAGTCACACAGGAGAGAAGCCGTATGAGTGTGATCATTGTGGGAAAGCCTTCAGCATAGGCTCGAACCTTAATGTGCACAGGAGGATACACACCGGGGAGAAACCCTATGAATGCCTGGCCTGTGGGAAAGCCTTCAGTGATCATTCATCCCTTCGGAGTCATGTGAAAACTCACCGAGGAGAGAAGCTGTTTGCATCATCGGTGTGGAAAAGGCTCCAATGACACATCTTTAAGAAAACCCAAGAGCTCAGACTGGGAGGAAACCTCACAGGTGTCAGGAAGGCAAGAGAGCCTTGATGAACTCATCTTATTGGGCACAAAAGAATACATGTAACTTGGGAGAAATTCAGTTTGTGTGATGACCTGGAAAGACTTGAGTTTTTTATCATCACTTTGGAGATTTGTGAGAGCTCACGCTGGGGGAGAAAATGTCTGTCTGTGGTGTCGAGAGGCTGTCACTGTACATTCAGCTCTTAAAAAAACATGAAAATTTAGGGAGAGAAACCCTAGCCTGGTATTTAATGTTGAAATGACTTCTTAGCACTGCCTTGCACCTTCTGGGCACATGAGTAAGCACACTAGAGAGAATCTCTGTAAATTCACTGACTGGGCAAATCTTTCCTGGTCTTACACTGTATTCCTTGTGGGGGAAATCATACTGAACAGAAAAATCTATCAAGTAAGAATGGGGGCAAGTCTGTAATGGGTAAGCAAACTATGGCCAGCTGTCTGTTTTTGTACAGCTTGCAAGCTAAGAATAGTTGTTAAATTTTAAAGAAGAAAAATGTGTGACAGACACCATATAGGTGGCCCACAAAGCCTAAAATTACTTACTGTCTGGCCGTTAACAGAAAAACTTGGCCAAACCTTGGTCTACGCAGTATTTCTCAACTGGGGGTGATTTTGGTCCCCAGGGGACATTTGGTGATGTCTGGAGACATTTTTGGTTGGCAAAACTGAGGGGAAGTGCTACTGGCATATAGTTGGAAGACAGCAGGGATGCTGCTAAAAATATCCTATAGTGCACAGGAGCCCACCACAACAAAGAATTATGTGCCCCAAAATGTCAGTATTGCTGAGGTTGAGAAACGTTGCCATACAGCAATCCCTCGATTTTTGAAACACCTGAGTACTCACACTAGGAGAAATTTCTATTTAAAACTTCAAAAATATAATCAGTGTAATTCTTTCAGGAAACACATGAGAACCCACACTGCAGATAGTCCATATGTGGACATGATTTCAGCCACAGCGTCCTCACTTCTACATAAGAGAACTCACACCCCAATGGGATTTTCTAGTAAATATGGAATTTCATTTATCAGTCTTTCATTATGAAAACAGACCCTAGCTCATTAATTTTTAGGCTTTATTTTTAAGGTGATGTTCCTCTAAATAACCCTTATGACTCATCATGAAACGTTTGTATATAGTATTTTTACTATAACTTCATTCTTGACATGTGTTCATTCCCTTTTGGATAACTTCCTTGAACAATGGACTGTTTAGAATATGTTATGTACTGTGTAACGTGGGTATTTTTAGTACCTGTTTTTAGTACCTATTTGTTACGAGTATAATTCAAATGCATTGTGATCAGAGCATGATGTCTTCATCAGATGGATCCTTTTGGAATGTTTTCGGCCTCCTATCCAACCAAGGGTGGCGTGCACTTCTAGTTGCTGCCCTAGTGTCTCATCTTCTTCCATATCAAGAAAATCCAAGTTTTGTCAGATTAGTGAGGTATACTACTTTTTTTTTGCTCCTCCCCCTACATCTTACTTTGTGAGGAGAGCCAGTACCTACTGTTAAAAAATCTGTCTTGTGACCATGAGGATAGAAGCCACAAGCTAAGGGGGATACTGCAGAAAAATCACAATGATCCTGGCTTCCACAGTGGCTTCCTGGACTGTCTGCACTAGCCCTGGGTTTGTTATTTCCAGATTTGCTATTACATGAGACAAAATAAAACTTTTGGTTTAAACTGCTTTGGATATTTGATTGTTTATCTATTTAATAATTGTTTTGTTGGTGGGGGGAGGTTTCTGCTATACTCAGCTGGATGCTGTCTGTAACCCATACACCTGTCATCAGTGAGGTTTTATAACTGCTACATGTGTGGGTATAATCTCATACTTTCAGTTGTTGGATATGGCTTTTTAAAGTGTTTAAACCAAGTTTTTAAATTGTATTTCAAATCTTTGATATACTTAAACATTTATTTTCTTGACTTGAATTGAAAGAAGTGTATTAGTTTTCACAAAAGCCCTAAGAAGCAGGTACTACCAGTATCTCCCTTTTGCGTGAGGAGCATCAGAGACTGAGGCAAGGAAGGTTAGGTTACTTGTCTAAACTTCAACCCGTTAACAAGTAGTAGTGCTTGTATTTGATTCCGTCTCTCTCTATGTCAGGCCCAGTTCTGTGCCCTGAGTCTATAACAGTGAATCAGGATTTTTGCCCTCATGGTGCTTACATTCTACTTGGGAGTGAGGCACCTGATAAACAAATGGGTAAATACTGGATGTCAGATGGTGGTGAATGCAATGGGGGAAAATTAAATGTGGTGATGATACGGAATATGGGGGTTCAGCGGAACTAATGGATGGATCAGGAAAGCATTTCATTTAAGAGGACGTTTGAGCAGAGATGTGAATGAACTGCAAGCGTGCACCATATTGTAATCTGGGGAAGAGCACTCTCAGCAGTTCGAAGGCCATGGAAAAGAATTGTGCTTGGGACAGCCATGCAGTAACAAAGGGATCGGTGTGACTCAAGTGGAGCATGTTTGGGAGTTGTGGAAGATGATGAAGTCAGAGCTGTATCAGGGTCCGGATCGTGGGAGTGTCATGTGGGTTAAATGGCAGGACTTTGCCTTTCATGCTCAGTGTGGTGGGAAGTCAGTGGAGTTTTCAACACGGGAGTGACAACTATTCAATTTCTGTTTTAAAAGGGTCACAGTGCCTTCTGGGTTGATAGGCTAAAGAGGGACAAGGTGCAAATAAACTTGTTAGTAAGCCATTTCAGTACTCAAGTCAGATACATTGGTGCCCAGATTCTTGGTAGTATGTGTGGTTTAAGAGTTAGTCACGTTGATGAAGAAAGCTGTAGTTTCATTTTTTCTTCTGGAAAGTTATCCTTTGTATTATCCCACAATTTATTTACCTTTTCTACTGCTGATGTACAGTTCCCATTTTTCCAAGTTATGGGCAAATGCTGCTTTAAGAAATTGTGTACGGGCCGGCCCTGTGGCTTAGCGGTTAAGTGCGCGCGCTCTGCTACTGGCGGCCCAGGGATCCCGGGCGCGCACCGACGCACCGCTTCTCCGGCCATGCTGAGGCTGCGTCCCGCATACAGCAACTAGAGGGATGTGCAACTATGACATACAGCTACCTACTGGAGCTTTGGGGAAAAAAAGGAGGAGGAGTGGCAGTAGATGTTAGCTCAGAGCCGGTCTTCCTCAGCAAAAAAGGATTAGCACCGATGTTAGCTCAGGGCTGATCTTCCTCACAAAAAGAAAACAAAAAAACAGAAAAAGAAATTGTGTACATAGCTTCTGTAGCATTGGTGAGTTGTTCCAGGAGTGTGAAATTGCTGAGCTGTAAGGTCTGTGCATGTTCCACTTACCAGTATAAAGCGAAAGTCGTTTCTACAGTGGTTGTGTAATGATAATCTTTTGTGTATGTAGTAACACTTAAAACAGGTTGTACTGAAATGCAGAAATCTGCTTAATTCACGTACAGCTGACTTATCACATGAACACATCCATGTAATCAGGCAAGAAAAAGTATTACCAGCATTTCTGATGATACCCTTCTTGCCTCATCCAAATGACAAATCCTTCCCTACTCTCTGCAGGTAACTAATATTCTGACCCTGACAACATGGCTTGGATTTTTTGTTTTTGAATCCTGTACAAATGGAACCACTCAGTATATGTTCTTTTGTGTATGTCTTTTTTTTTTTTAAGTTTTATTTATTTATTTTTTTCCCCCAAAGCCACAGTAGATAGTTGTATGTCATAGCTGCACATCCTTCTAGCTGCTGCATGTGGGACGCGGCCCCAGCATGGCCAGAGAAGCAGTGCGTCGGTGCGCACCCGGGATCCGAACCCAGGCAGCCAGCAGCAGAGCGCACACACTTAACCGCTAAGCCACGAGGCCGGCCCTGTATGTCTTAATTTTCCCAATATTTTTGTGAAATTGATCCATATTGTTTTGAGTATCTCTGGCTGGTAGATTTTATTTGTTCCATTGTTTGAATGTTCCACAATTTATTAAGCAGTTTGTGCTGATGACATTAGACTTTTCAGTTTGGGGCTGTTGTGAATAATACTGCTTTGAGCATATTTTAATATTTCTGATAGTGCGCAAGTACATGTGTTTCTCTTGGGTGTATAACCTGGACTGAAATTACTGGGTCCTGTGGGATGCATACGTTCACTTTTGTGGATGATGGCAGTTTTCCAAAGTGGTTGTGCAAATTTCTTTTCCAACAAGCTATTTTATGGAGTTAGATAAGATGATACTAAAGTTGCCTGCCTTTTTCTTACTGAGTTTATATTCCAGATGTGAGCCCTATGGATGGATATGTTTTGCAGATATTTTCTCACTCTCTGTGGCTTTCCTCTTCATGTTTTAATTGATGTCTTTTGATGAAATGAGTTCATAATTTTGATGTCATCTAATCTTTATGGACAACGCTAGTCTCTGTTCCTGTGTAAGAAATATTTGCCTACTATGGGGGCAAGAAGATATTTTACATTTTCTTCTACAAGTTGTATTGTTTTAGTATACACACTTAGATCTACAGTTCATCTGAAATTGATTTTTTTGTGTATTGTGTGACATAGGATTAGGTTTTATTTTCTCCATATTGACCCAGCATCTTTTATTAAAAAAATGTGTCTTTATCATTTGAGATGTCATCTTTGTCATGAACTGAATTCCATATGTATTTGTACTATTTCTGGACTTTATTCTATTCTGGTCTGTTTTTCTGTTCATGTACCATGCCACAGAGTTTAAATTATAAGGGGCTTTATAATAAGTTTCAATGTCTGGGAGGTCTGGTTCCCCTTATGTTTTTCTTTTCTTTTTCAGTGTTTTCCTAGGTATTCTTCCTTGTTTGTTTTTTTTAATATGCACTTCACTATGATCTTGTCCAACTCCATTAAATAAGCTTTTTGGTATTTTTATTGGCATTACCTTGAATTAAAAGTTAACTTTGGAGGAGAACTAACATCTCTATAATGTTAAGTCGTCTTATGCAAGAACAGGGAATGCCTTTCCATTTGCTCAAGTCTACTTTAGCATTAGTCAGGAATGTTTAAAAATTTTCCTTATGCAAGTTTTATACATTCTTGTTAAGTTTTCCCTAAGTATTTAGTCTTTTATTGTAAATGAGATTTTCTCTACTGTTAACATCTTCTCTTCACAGTTTCTATATATGAAAGCTACTAAACATGTATCTTAGTTTTTTTTTTTTTTTTTAAAGATTTTATTTATTTTATTTTTTCCCCCCAAAGCCCCAGTTGATAGTTGTATGTCGTAGCTGCACATCCTTCTAGTTGCTGTATGCGGGACTCGGCCTCAGGATGAACGGAGAAGTGGTGCCTCGATGCGCACCCGGGATCCGAACCCAGGCCACCAGCATCGCAGCGCGCGCACTTAACCACCAAGCCACAGGGCCGGCCCGAGTATCTTAGTTTTAT